AAAGAAAGAAAGAAAGAAAGAAAGAAAGAAAGAAAGAAAGAAAGAAAAGAAAAGAACAGATGGCAAGCAAGGCATGATGTCCCTCACCTGTGATCCCAGCACTCAGGGAGGCATAGACAGGTGGATCTCTCCAAGTTCGAGACTAGCCTGGTCTATGAAATGAGTCCAGGACAGCCTAGGCTACACAGAGAAATCCTTTCTCAAAAACAAACAAAAACAGATGGCATGGAAAAGAAAAAAGGCTGTCCTACACCACTGAAGTGGCATGAAATGTCTGCCTCACATGGCTGTGTGCACATTTATGCTTAAGTACTGGCTCCCAAGGAAAGGGGTTTTGTTTACATTGCCTGTTTCTGAGTTGAGGAAGGGGTTATGTGGGGACATCTTATTGCTTATTTGTTTGTTTGTTGGATGTTGAGGGTTTTTTGTTTTGTTGTTGTTGTTGTTGTTTTGTTTTATTTTGTTTTTTATGCTAAGGTTTGAACTAGGAGCCTCACAAACACTGAGTACATTCTGAGCCTGAAGAGTTTAAGTTAGCCTGGGTATAACTCCATTTTGAAATAAGGAGCCATCTTGACTGGGAGCTGAATTCAAGTACCAGGAAATATCACAGAATGTACACTTGGCAGAAAACAAAATTAACTCTCCTAGCAACAGCCTCCAGAAAATATTACAGAATAAATGCTTCATAGAAAATAGAGACAATCTCCCTGGCAATAATCAATGAGAATCAGTTGGGAATCGGGTGGAAAAATTCTCCCCAATGTTTCAGATATAGTTTAGAAGAATGGCATTGTGATTACGTGCCTCAGAGAAGGTCACCTCGCCCCTCTGACTTTTACCTAATCCTGTAGCATCAAGACATGGGCCCCCTGCTTGCTGTCATAGAAACATGCCCCCCTGCTTGCTGCCATGTAAACCCCCTGCTCACAGACTTTCCCTTTAAAAATCCTGCTCACTCAGAGCTCGGGGTCTCACTTCTCTACTGCTGCATCAGTGAGACTTGGGTCCTGAGTGCGATCGCTCGCATAATAAAGCTCTCTTGCTACTGCATCGAGTTGTCTCCTGGTGGTCTCTGAGGGTCCCATGAACCTGACATTACAAGTCTAGCAGAAAATCCTTTTGATTTTCCCCCATGGGGATCTAAGTCAACACCAAAATTTTAGAAAGCTAGTTTAAAACAAAAACAAAAACAAACAAACAAAAAAAACCCAATTGCTGTTATGATAGGTTTTGTGATGCTGGATGTGGTGGCTCCTACCTTTAATCCCAGCACTTGGGAGGCAAAGGCAGGTGGATCTCTGTGAGGCCAGCATGGTCTACAAAACTAGTCCAGGCCAGCCAGGGCTCTGTTACACAGAGAAACCTTATTTGAAAAAAGCAAAAAGCAAAGAAGAGAAGAGAAAAGAAAAGAAAAGAAAAAAAAAGAAAAGAAGAAGAAGAAGAAGAAGAAGAAGAAGAAGAAGAAGAAGAAGAAGAAGAAGAAGAAGAAGAAGAAGAAGAAGAAAAGATAGGTTCTATGTTGGTGATACCAAAGAAATCCATGGTGAACATCTAAAAGCTTTGACGCTTAAATAGCTTTCCCATCTCACTTTCTAAACTATGATGGAATCATGCTCCAAGCTACGCACAGCTAAGCCAGGATCCTCCTTACTGTCAACACTGACAATATATGCTCAGTTTCATCCCAGTACATCAAGAATTCAGATAAATACGGACTGTATCACTTTAATGCCACTGATTTCTGTGGCATTTTGTTTCTGTGGCATTCTGTTTTCTTTGGCATTTCTGAAGGCATTTTGTTTGTTTCTTGGAACCTAGTCTCATTATATAGCTCTGGCTGTCCTGGAACTGGGTGTGTAGACGAGGCTAACCTTGAACTCATAACGATCTCTGCCTGCCCCTGCCCCTGCCCCTGCCCCTGCCCCTGCCCCTGCCCCTGCCCCTGCCCCTGCCTCTCAGAGTGCTGGAATTAAAGGCACGAACCATCATGCCCAGCCCCATGGCATCTTTTAATCAAGCTAGCAGCTATGACATGAGAGAGAAATCTTCCTTTTAAATAATCCTTATATTTAGAATCCATGTATGAGTAAAATCGTGGCTGTAATTCTTTCAAAAGACAACTTTTACTGTAGGAAAAACAAAATACCTTCCATTTGCTCTGGGCCATATATTTCTGCAGCAATAGTTGGGACCTGAGACGAATGTTGGAGCCTGAGGCTTTGGCAGGGAGGTGATTTAACCACTCGTGTTTCAGGCACTGTGTGGCACTCATCCTGCAGCTGTGGAGTCAAACAGCGGTAGAAACATTGAATTTGAGTTACGCTTGCCTTTGTGAGCTGTCTAAAAGCCTGTCCTGTTGGGTAGGAAGTCTGAGTTGATGGAAAAAAGTTCATTATTTAGGCATATTCGTGCCACATTCCCCAAACTCCCCTCCTTACAAAAGCCAGTAAGCTGTCAGTTTCCTGACCTCCACAGAAGGTTGCCGGTGACTAACCACACAGCCCACGGAGGGATGAGACGCTGAGGCTGAGGCAGAACCATGGAAGGCAAGCTGTGACTGGGATTGCTCTTAGGAAAACACGATGCTTGAACAAAGCCTGGCAGAGTAAAGCATCCTTCGGCTCACCTAGTTACAGTGTGGCTTCTCTCACTCAGAAAGTAAGAAACTCTGAAGATCAGAGAGCAGAGCTGTCCTAAACCCTGAACTCTTGAGCCTTTCTCAAGAGTTTTGTTTTTCAAGACAGGGTTTCTCTGTGTAGCCCTGGTTGTCCTGGGCTCACTCTGTAAACCAGGCTGGCCTCGAACTTAGAGAGATCCACCTTCCTCTGCCTCCTGAGTGCTGGGATTACGAGCGTGTGTCACCACTGCCCCGCCCTGGGGTATCCTTTTGTTGTCAGTGGTTATTTTCAACTCTTTTATGTCTGAGTATAAAAACAAAAAACAAAAAAACTCAACAGGCTCAGTTTCTGACGTTGATAAAGCTGTTTGTGCCAGCTAGTTTTAAGTCAACTTGAAACAAGCTAGGGTCACCTGAGAGGAGGGAACCTCGAATGAGAAACTGCAGACAAGCTGGAGGGCATTTTCTTGATTAGCATGATGTGGGTGGGCCCAGTCCTCTGTGGGTGGTGCCATGTCTGGGCTCTGTAAAAAAGCAGGCTGAGCAAACCAGGGAGCAGCACCCCTCCACGGCCTCTGTGTCAGCTCCTGCCTCCAGGTTCCCGCCTCGCTTGAGTTCCTGCCCTCACTGCTTTACAATGAAGAACTGTGCATGAAATAAACCCTTTCTTCCCCAGGTTGCTGTTGGTCATGGTGATCTGTCACATTCACAGTCACCCTAAGACACTTTTGAAGTCTAAGAAGGCCTCAGTGACCAAGAAATGAAGCATTCCCTCGGACCTGTACTCCGAGGGATGACACCCACACATCTCAACTCTTTCCAATGTTAGCTTATTATAAGTGATAACTTAGAAATAGGACATGTTTGTAACATAACTCTAAGACTGTCTAGCCTAGCTGTTTTTAAACTAATTTCCTTTGTCCTGCTGCTGTTCCTTTTAATGTTCCACACAACAGACTAAGAAATCCCACAGGACGAAAGGATTCAGCCAGCGCACAGATCAGGACCCATTATAGTGACCAGCAACTAAAAATACCTCTTCTCTTTGATGAGCAACCGGGAAACAAAGTCCTTGGCTTCCTCTGACAGCCCTTTGAAGGTATCAGCATCGAAATCCCAGCTGCAGTTCACAATAAAATTCATGGTCTCTGCATCTGTTTCTCCCAGAAATGGGGACAGACCGCTGAGCCTTTGGGGGAGAGAAAGGACAGTGAGTGCAGCACAAGCTCAGCGGTCACATGCTCACACGCAGGAGGGGTGGGGGGAAAGGGTGCTCTGAACGCCTATCATATGCGACCCTTTCCTTATTCCTACAGCAGAGGTTCTCAGCTTTCCTAACTGAAAGATCCCCGGAGGGTATCTTCCGTCAGAGAGACCCCCTCCCAAGGATCAACGAGGCCATTCGGATGCAAACAGCAAGAGGCTTTTATTTTGATACACGGGTACCCGGGGCGAAAAGTCATTCGGGAGACTTCCGCGCCCCCCAGGTAGGAAGCTGGGGTTTTTATAAGGTTTTAGAGCAGAAGCACTGGTACAGAAGCGAGAAGCATGGTTACAGGGGGCTGATTGGTACGTTTACACGAGACCACAATTTGCGTCAAAGTTTGGCAGGGGCACCAAGATTCCAGGAACTGGGTGGTCAAGGGGGCTATGATGACCCCTTGACGTGGCCCACCACCTGTTGTTTTTCTTAGGACCCTTATCTTAACTGGAACAGTCTCACAGATATCCATGAGGGTGATTAATACAAACTGTTTTTAGTTCGACTGGGGCAGCCTGACCGCAGATATCCCAAGTGGGTGACACAGCTGGGTTTCTTAGTAATTTTTCAGTTTCTCATCTGGCCTTCAGAGTTTTACAAAACAGTGGTGTCTCACAAAATGGCGTTAGCTATGTTTAACTTAGGGTGAGGCTGGGGTCTTTCACTAACGTGACTCTCTAGTACAGCTTCTTGTGTCGGTGACCCCCAACCATGAATTTACTGCTGCTTCATAACTGTAATTTTGCTACTGTCATGAATAATAATGTAAACATCTGTGT